GTAGAATTTAAGGTAGAAATTGAAGAGGAAGGAAAAGACATGTGGGGATAGTGTGTCCAAAAGCACAGGAAGGAGGGAAGTGGCTAGTGTAAACAAATGGATGATAAAAATGAAACTATATTAAATAGTGTAGCAGAAAAATAGGCCAAAAAAGAACGGAAAGGGAATGGAGAGGGAAAAAAAATCAGGATCTTGGGATAGGCCTTGGAATGTGTTAGGAATCAATCACAGGAAATGTTTAAGATCTCTGTCTGAAAAAACATAACATTGGCTGCATGGGAAATGAAATTTCAGCAATGAAAAACAAAAGGCATTTAACATCCAAACCAAATTTGGCACAGCTAAAATATTGAGGGGAGAGGTGATTTTTTTTTCAATGGAAAAGTGAGCTGAGGATTATTTAATTTTGTTTTGAAATTAAAAATGAAATCAGTAGAGGAATTACATTGAAATTATAGTTCAGCATCGTGGCTTGGAGCAACACTATAAGGAACTAAATGGAAAAGCCCATACAGTAAGGGCACATGTCTACATGTGCACACCCTTAATGCACATTAAAAATGGTAAATTTAGGCTAATTTTACCTAAATTTCATACCTGCATTTAGGTATCAACTTTAGGCGCGCTTAGTTAAAGCACATTAATGCACTTGTAGATGTGACCTGGCACTAACTTTAGTGCTGGTCCTGCCTAGCCAGGGCCTGCCCAGGGTTCCTGGCTGGCTGACTTTCCACCCCCAGGGCTAGGCTGCTCTCTGGTAGCCCCTACCTACAGACTATAAAAGCCAGCAGCCATTTTGCTCCCTGGGACAAGCACACTAGGAGCCTGGATAAGACTAGTGATCTGTCCAAAAACCCAGCAGGTCCCATATGCTCCCTAGACAGGCCACAGGCTGTCTCTGCCTCTAGAGTTGCTGCTTGGCCACAGGTGAGTGTTGCAAAGGGCTGCAACTTGCTGCACCCCTTGCCCAGTGCTGAGATCCCCCCAGGGCTGCTGCCTGGCTGTCTCTGTTAGCAGGGTCAGCACCTGCTCCCTGCTGCTGCTCACCACCAGCTATCTCCTGTGCTTGCAGGTCCTGCCTCTGCCATGTGGCTCCCAGTCCTTGGCCATGCCCCTGTGCTGGGCACTGTTGGCAGCCATCTAGGGCTGGTCATGCAGAGGACAGCCACACAGAGGCCCAGAATGCTGGCATGTGATAACCATGTTGTTGTCTTCCTCCTTACTGAGCCCTGGCCTTGCCCATGTGCATACATCCATGCTAACTGCCAGGGTCTTCAACTGGACCCGGGAGAGGGGTGCATGACCTTGTGGCACTCTAGGGCTGTGCTGATGTGCAGAGCCAGAGGCAGTTTGCACAGGGCAGGCATTCAAACACCTACATTTACAAGGCCTTATTGGGTGGGATGAGGGAGTGAAGGCATTCTCAGTCGACACAGTAGTGCCACATAAAGGTCAAGGTCTTGCAGGTTCAGTGGATGTCCATGACGGACTTCAGCCTAGTCATGCCCTAAAGTCCATGCCCTTTATGTGGCAGCTGACCCACATGTTGGCACCCGAGGAGCCAGGCTGCACCTCTGTGACTGTCACATCACTGCCAGCTGCCAGCAGCCTGGGGGCGGGGGGGAAGAGGCGGGCCCTGGCCAGGTGCCAGCCCACCGCATGACAGGCCACAGATACTGGGCACAGCCAGATGCTGTTGCTAATGGGGAGGCCCATGCTGAGCCACCTGCCCCGTCAGCTCCGGACACATGGTAAGTCCTGCCCTGGGGCAGGGCCCTCCTAGTCCTCACCCCTGCCCCTGGCCCCAGCCTCTGTCCCCACTCCCTGCCTGCTGTCCCCTGGCCCCAGTTTCTCCCCAACCCCACAGCATGCAGAGAGGTGGGACACAGTTCAGAACTTTATTGAGCAGTCTGTGTTGTCACAGCTTGGCGGGCATGGGCCTCTCACACACCAAGGAAAATGTTAATGTTGGCAGCAATGTCCTTCTTGACAGTGGGGGCAGGGACATGTAGCGCTGTGACAGGTAGCCCTCCAGGTAGCAGTGGAGGTTGTGGGGCAGCACAGACTTGCCCCTTGTGCCATTGCAGCTGAGGGTCCTGAACCAGGAGTGCAGATGTGCCCACGGCACCAGGAGGATCAGCAGCACTAGTGTGCAGCACCTGGGGAGGCAGGGTGGACAAGGAGGGAGTTGGTGCACGCTGTCCCTGTGCTGGGTATGTGGTTTCTGGTCAGGGCAGGGGGCTGGCCAGGGATCAGAGCTTCCAAGGTGGCTGCCAAGAGCTGACAGCTGGCTTTGGCTTCAACTTGGCTGCCAAGTTCTGGCAGCTATGTGGCTGGAGGCTGAAGCTCCCTCTGGTGGCCACAAGGGCACATGGCAGGATAGGAGGGACCTGGGACTTGTGGAAGAATTCCTTCCCAGTCTCTTCTATTAGTTTTGTTTCCTTTGTCATTGTCCCTTCACCTGTCTCTCAATCTAGTTGCCTCAGGTTACAGCTACTACGTGACCTCAAGCTCATACAGGGGCTGAGCCTAGTCTCTATTGTTTTAAGCACTGACCTCATGGCATGGGGGCAGGGGCTTGAGCGGGCAGGGGCAATTATTTTGGGCGGGGAGCCGCTTACCCAGTTTTGGCAGGCTGTCAAGGGCTGCATGGGTAGCCCCGCCCCCTGGCCGGGGCCCCCCC